TTTACGGACCGTGGAAATTTTATGCGTGGCAGTGGCCAACATCGATCGCTCGCAACTCGAGGGCAAGGTACATTTTTATTTTAGATATTTTAATTTGATTTTTACATTTACATGGCATGTTTTTGCGTTGTTCGTTTCAATTCTAACTCGTCCCCGGAATGTGTAAAATTATTGCATAAATGATATTCTGCGTATAAAATAATGTGCAGTTTTCGAAGGGGCGAAAATAAATCCTCCCGTAAAGTAAAATTCGAGGCTGATAGATAAGAGGATCTCATTCCTTAATTACCTTCCGGTGGACTTGAGTAGAGCTTTAATTTAAGATTCAATTACTTTAATATCGAATATTGAAAGATTATATAAAAAAAAAATAAGCGTACGGTATTCCGTTCGTTTTCATTAAGAAGTAAATCGATTGCAAATTAGATCATTAGCATATGGAGTACCTGCGATCGCTGGCTCGGCGGGGCTGCCTGGTTTTTTAAATCGATAAAGTACGTGTAATAAAATAGTGTCGCGTGAATTTCCGTCCGTGTTTAAGACAGAGGAAAATATTCCCTCGTCAAGATTTATTTAAAACAGTCTATACAAAAAAATTAATATATTATAAATAAGAAAGATCCCAACCAAAATACGATCGCCGAAAATACCACTCGTAAAAATACGTCGCGTCACGATGAACTTAACACTTTTAACACTTTCGATCCGCATAAGTCTTGCAATTTGTGTACCACGTAAACGTTTCACGAATTGTAGTTGTAGATGCAAAAAGTGCAGAATCACTTCCCAGCATCCTCTCAAGATACCTTTCCACGTTACGAGCGTCATTGAATATTTCTATCGCGCAAAAACAATTTCTCCGGAAAAAAGAATTTAACAAAAAAAACCCGCTTTTCTCGTTTTGCAGCGCCTCCGCAGAAGGTGACGATCAGCAATCACCCGAAGAAACAGATAATCGAGGTGAAGGTGGGCGAGTCGCGGCGCTTAGAGTGCGTCGTTAGCGCGGCCAAGCCGGCCGCCTCGATCATTTGGTACCGCGGAAACGTGCAGATCAAGGGCGGCGACACCACTATCGCCGCAATCTCCATCCAGGGCGGTAAGTAGCCGCGCTATCCTGTTATGCACGTTGATATTCGATTACGATAATCCCGCGCGCGAATGAATATATCATGGTTATTACGCGACGAGGATTAAATGACCGCCGCATTATACGTATTCGCAGATAAGCGCAATTCTGATCTAATAACGCGGTATCATCTAATTAAATTTCGCCACCGGGATATAAATAATTTCTCCCGTTTGTGCGCGCGCAAAAGCGCCTGTTTTTCAATTGCCGTTGCCTTCCCGTCGCATTGATTTCTGATGCTACGTCGAAGATAACCGCTGTCAAACGTATGCACGTTCGTTTCTTCTCGCGTTCATGTTTGATTTGCGGAAATACGGACACGACGTACGTACAAAGCGGTTTTAGTCCAACGCACATTCCTTTATCTCTCTCGATTCTCTTCGTCTCCGTAACCAGAAGAAAAATGGAGAAAGAAAACACGTTTTCTATTTGCCTTTTGACACAGAGATGAATGAATATCAAATGGATAAATGATTATAAAAGTGCCTTTTATACAGTTATTCAAGAGCTCGGAAAAAGGCGTCGCAAAAAGCGCCGTAAAGGGCGTCTAAAGGATTTTCGAATCTCTCGGGCGTTTAAAAACCGACGTTCCTCGCTAATGTTATTTACGAGATCTTTCATATTTTTCGAGTTAATCGAATCCGTCGTAATTACAAGCCCGACGAAATACCCGTGAATATATACGGTACCAAAGTGAGACCGAGCGAGCGCGCACAAGCACGAATGAATAACTTGCTTTAGCGAGTGAACGTGCGGCAGTGCCGATCGCTTCCGTTGATTCGCGTTCGCTCGCTGCCAGATCCGGGGCTTTAGCGCAGCGCGCGACATTCAGAGGCGGATAAGTAATCTCGCGTCTCGTCGGCAGCTCGGCGCGCGACGCGCGCGCGGAAAGTGGGAAAAAGATTGGGACGGCGTCGAGACGCCTCTCCCTCTTAGCGCCGCTTCCAGTTGCCAAGAGCATCTTCGATCGATCCCGTGACACACAACTCTGGCCGCGTTCCAGCTACCGAAATTGACATTCCCGTCTCTCGCTCGCGCCCCGCCGCTTGCGTTTTTACATTCGCCCGGAGACAGCCCGACGAGACATCAAACGATTGCATCGGCCGGCCCGCCGTTTTACCACCATCCGGCGCGCAAGGTTAAAATATATCCCGATAAGAACATCGATAAATAGCGCGGACGAAATGAAAAGGGTCCGCGGCGCGACGCGACGCGATACGACGCGCGCCACAGGGGCGTTCGTGAAACGAATACGCGACTCAATTTTTGCAAATGCGAGTTCGTAGCGGTCGAAAGTAGATAAGAAAAGTTTCTTCTGAGAGACGTGATGCATAAAGACGCTTCATTAACTATTTCGATGAGCAGGAATGAACGAATGAATATCCAATGAATGCAGAAACTGCTATTTCTTGTCAGTGATGAAATATTAATCAGAGTCTAGTTGAAGGAAGAAGGAGAGGGGGAGAGAGAAGTAAAAGAAAAGGAAGATGCCGTAATTTTACGAGATGTAGCGCCTTTAATTAAAAAAAATATATATTAAGTTTTAATATAAAAGCGTGGCGTGAAAGATATTAGAATATCACTGTTCGCATAAACTCCAGTTGTCGTTTTATTGTTTAATTAAACGTATGATTGATCCGATATATTGTAGAAATTTAGCCGCTTGTTTCGCGCACGTGTGTATCCAACACGCGCGCAACCTTCGTGGGGAAGGAAGGCGCGGCGCACTTTTACGAGCATCGCGCGTAACGCGAATTTATTATTGGAAAATACATATAAACAAAGTGTGTAATGTATTTATAGGTATTTAAAACAAATTTGCTCTTTGCATTCAGCGGATTATTCGCCGGAAGAGAAAATGAGTATTTTGATATTATTTTACATTGCACACTTTAATGTTATTCCCTTCGGCGAAACGTGAACATCAATTCCGTCGCAATTTGCGATATACATTTTAAAAACAAGGAGTAACGAATAAATTCCGCGACGCGCGACCGTGACGACAGCCGCGTCAATTTGTCTTTGTAGTGCGGGAATAGGCTGGATATAATCTTACGAAACGCGCGACGCGATGGCATTTCTTTTCGCTCGCGCGTTTAAAAATCCGCCTCGTTTCTCGCGAGAAATTGCACCCTCTAAAAGTCAATAGGTGGATTAGCGTTGAAAACAGTGAATATTCACTGATTCGCGTTTGAATAATTCAATGCTATACTTATAACTGTGACAATGCACTGGTTAACTTTTAGAGGAAAGTCCTCTATTCTGAGATAGGATTCTAATCTTTAACGTCCGAATTTAATCCCAAATCTTTTTCCGCAACGATTACACGATCTACCCGAGTCGAAATTTTGGTACTATTTTGACACTTTTAAGAATAATTTACACTTTTATGGATAATTTACACCATCACTTGGATGATCTATAACCTACATAGACCAGCACTAACCTACTTTGATGACATATTTTTTTACTACTCCCTTGAATCTTTCATTCTAAAAATTTACTTTAGCTCCTGCTTAAAAGGACCTACTTCAATGCTAAATCGGGAAAAGTAGAAATGTCAGACACTATCGGTTTTAAAGTAGGGGTAAATTTTGTACTTGCAGTCCGACCTCTTTTACTGTCTTAGATTCTACTGTATAATAAATTAAAGGTTCAACACAGGGCCAAAATTTTGACACGGGTAACAATGAATTTTCCACTAAACAGATTTCACTCCAAGGGCAATAAATTCATGGTGGAACCAACAGATGACGCCTATTAATTAAGCATAAACTCCGCTGTCTCATAATAGGGGACTCTCCTTTACGTCTGATACTTGCAGTGTCTTAAATCCGACGCTCGACGCTCCTTTACGTCCGCGAGTAATTGATGCGAGAAATCGTCAGAATCGCGTCTTTAACGATGGCCATACGCATCTCAGGGTGCAACAATCCGACTAACGGGGCTGCGAACAGCGCGAGACGCAAGTCTACTTGTAGAAATAAATCGCGAATCTTCGTCGTTCCCTTTGTTACGGCACGCTCGTATCTCCCGCTCGTCATCCCGGCGGCAATCTTGCTCCGACCGTCACGCATCCAGTCAAATCCCGTCGCCGTTGAGAGCCCTTCGTGTCCCCGGCGTGTCTCCGAAAACTGTGTGGATTGCAACACGCGGGATAAAGAGTCGCGCGTCGGCGCTTTCGCGTAAAAGCTTGTCCGGTGCTTTTAACGGAGATTTAAAGGGAGGCACGTTGCGAATACACGCGTATCTTTCTCGCAACGTTGCGTGCGCACTCGCGACCTTAATGTAAATTACGGTATCTCCGTGCGCCGCCCATGAATAATTCAACTTTCTTCGCGGCTCTCGAATTAATTCGGACAATCTTTGCGAGTAATCGAGCGATTAAGGGGCGCCTTTGGATTTCGATTAAGAATCAATATCGCGCGTGGAAATTCACTTTATTGTAAATAGCGTAAGACGTTCGTCAGTAAACACGCGGTGCAGTCGGACGTGTTCCGATTTTCTCAAGTGAATACCTGAAATTAATTTGCAAATTTTCAAGGAGCCCCAAACATGTGTAAAGACAGAAAGCAATTCTTTGTTCTCGCAAAACTCTTCTGGAGGGTGTAATTAATAAACTCGATAAAAAAAATTAAAACGGTTACGGAGGACAAACAATAATGGTTAGAGAAAAGTGGTGTCGCGTTGGCGCGGTGAGTTAAAGTGGCCACTGTGGAATTTGTGGCAATTTGCTAGTCTGCATTTCTGAAATTCCCAAGTAGCATCAGAAAGACGGAAAAAGGACGACGATAACCGGAGGAAGGTGGTTAATTTCGCGACTATAAAGTAGAAGCAGGTGGCAGGTGGTGTTTATTTCGCGATTTGCGCGGACAATGTTGCAGACAAGGAAACGGCCAAGCCCGGGGAGATGAAGGAATTGCTCAAGTACGACACTCACGGTTCCATTACCATCATGCCCACGGCGGACGATAATGGGATGGATTACACCTGCGAGGCCAGCCATCCGGCGATACCCATAGACAGGCCTATGCGGGCCACCATTACCCTCTCCGTTTTCTGTAAGTACTGCAGCAACGTGTGTGCGTAAAAACACGCGCTCGCGTGATCGTTTACGTCGCACGCGTGTCGGCGCACGCCGACGTATCGTCGTGAAAAAGAGCGCGGCGAGCTTTATACAAAATTGGAGCGTTCGTGGCGTTGCCGAAATTACCGAAAACGAGTCGGCGTTAATTTCAAGTCCGTCTCGGCGCTCCTCAATTTTACAGCGCTTTATTTATGCAGCAAGCCGGGTTCTCACTTGTACGTGCGCGAACAGAGAGAGTTGTACGAATATTGTAAGATAGAAGATAACAGGAGTCAACTGGACAGTATACGTGTGCGGCGCGATACGTATCGCGATAATGGCAAAATTATTCAATGGCTCTCGCCAATTATTACTGCGATTCGCGTAACGCGTCGTTGAATTTATTATGTAATGTAATTCTCGGGTCGAATTGCAATTCGCCTAACATACAGAATTAGAACGCGATGCGGATTCGCGTTAAGAGCTTCCTTCCCGAATCTCGGCACGCACGCGTGTCGTCGCTCTGACAATGAGTCATTCGAGCCGAGACCGACTTTCGATCCCAATTAACCGGATTACGTTTTCACGCAAGTTTCGTTGTCGTACACTGAAGAAAAAATCGCCACCGTAGCTAATCGTGATTGGCTAGAAATATTTGGCTGCGTAAATTTCTAAACCACAGCAAACAGTTTGCTGTCGCACCTGATACAATAGGTATTTTTTCCGCGTTTAACGGCGCAGCACTGACAGTGTCCCTGCGTTTGCCCCGCAGATCCACCTGGCCCGCCGTACATAGAGGGCTACACCGAGGGCGAGACCGTGCAGCGCGGCCAGAACGTCGAGCTCGCTTGTCGGTCGCGCGGCGGAAATCCGCAGGCGGAAATTGTCTGGTACAGGAACGACGTGAGGGTCACGGCGGCGCATCGCAGGGGCCCGGGCGTCAGCGAGAACGTGTACTCGTTCATCGCCCGCGCTGAGGACGACAAGGCCCGCTACAGATGCGAGGTCTCCAACATCATGAGCGTGCAGCCTATGAAGGTGCACGTCGACCTCACCGTGCTTTGTAAGTGTGCGATAATTACGCGTGATTAGGTGGCGGTGCAAAACGTTGCAAATTGCATTTCGAGAAACCTCCGTCCCTTCGTCGTCCCTCTTCCTCGCGTCCGTATAATCGCGCGCTATTATCGTCTTTTATATTAATCGGGATCGAATAATGGACGTTAATTTTTAATGCATTTAGCAACGCGCACGTTTTAATCCCGCCCACGTGTAATTGTATATTATGATCCTTTTTATATTAATACGAGTCGAGTCGCGCGAAATACCTCAATTTAATTTACCCGCTCGCGGCCGTGCTCGATAATTTCGAGGCTTTACTTTGTTTACCGCGCCGAATTAATAATTTTAAAGAGAACTGATCAATTTATTCGATATAAGCTTAAATAGATGCGAAAGTGGAATATGAAAGGGGATGGAAAAATGCGAAACTTTTATTGCGCTCTTAAGACGTCAGTTCTTTTTTTCCCTCCGTCCCTGAATCTTGCAGAACGCGTATTTCTCGCGAGTGATACTTGAGACGTATTTAAGGTGTTGGAATATTAACGTTGCCTGGTGCCTGTCTGTGGCATTCACCATTACTTTACCGCAAGGCGTAGTATTGCACAACGTAAGGTTGCACGGCGTATGGACGATCTCTTGCCGACGGAACAGCCGCATAAATAATTCCGCTTCTCTATTTTCGCCGAGGCTACGCTCGCGTACCCAAATTGAAATTTCGCTAACTTTATGCCGGCGTGATATATGTGGATAAAGCTAGAAAATACCGCGGGGCTGGCTTATCGTATACTTACGATTAAGGGTAAACGGTTGTCGACCGTACTGTTGCAGTTATTGACAGCCTGTCGGTGAACTTTATTTCACATTTTTACGGCCGACGTCAGAAATGGAAAATTGACGACGGCGAGCGACATCGGTTTCTCGAAGCTCGGTGGCTTTCGATTCTCCCGGAAATTTGCTTAACGGAACATCGAGAGCTTGCAAATGTAAAAATTCAATAATTCCCGCGCGGTGCCTTTTTCTTTATCTTCTTTTCAAATGCCCTCTCGTGCCGTACACATTTTTACCCGCTAAACATTCGTTATTCATTCCGGATCTGCCGCGGTTCTAAATATCTAAATCAATCAAGTGTGTAACACGTCTACCTATCCAGTCTTTATCCGCTATCTCCACCGTGGACTTTTACGAACCGCCATTCGGGCCAACTAATTGGAGGCTTTTTCACACTTATTTTTACGATCCCACCAGTCGCGCCCGCCGGAGTAACCATCACCGGCCCGACCGAGGCGAAGGCGGAAGACCAGGTGCTCATTACTTGCACGACGGAGAACTCGAATCCGCCCGCGGACATAAAGTGGACGGTGGACGGGCATAATTTCGAGAGCAACGCCTCGAAGACGGAGCTGGCGCCGAACGGTGGCTGGATCACCAGCTCGAACGTGACGTTCAGCATTAATCGCAAGAGCCGCAGCATCGTCGTCATCTGCCACGCTTCGAACGCCAAGCTCACGGAGAACGTGGTCGGCACGCACACCATCAACGTGATATGTGAGCACCCCTTCCCTCTCTCTCTTCGCTGTTGTACAATTTCGCTAAGCTCAGACTGATGACAGAGAACGATCCGCAAACGCTCAAGTCTCAGGCCCGGTCTACAACGAGTTGTCAGTCGTCAGTCAGAACTATATGTCGATCCTTTTTCTTCCACCCAGAAAGGAAAAGGATCAACATACAGTTCCGACTTCTGACTAACGACTAACAATTCATTGTAGACCAGGCCTTAGTCGTAGACGTAAGGCAAGGCGGAGAGAAACGTCTACGACTAAGAGCCTGTGTCCACGATGCTAGAACTTGGTCCAAGTTCC